CTTGAATTTAAAACACAAGTTAATCACAAAGTCAGTTACTTATTGATTGAAGTGCCATTAAAGGAGGCAACGTTATTTATGATACAGTTCACAGTGAGAAATCTCTCCAAATTTTCGTTGATTAGAACACGGCACAATGGATTTGATTTAAAACTCGGAATGAAAGCATGAACTATACACAAGTCAGAAACTCAGAATGCTACTCACTTTTGGTGGCATGATGTATGTTGCGAAAAAAAATGCTATTCACTTTTGGTGGCATGATGTATGTTTAGGCAACACTGCTGTATATCATTTGTGTATTTTTGGTTCGATTTTTGAGAGATAGGATACATAAAATTTCATCTGGATTTCTATCTTCAGTTCTGGTGCAAGAAGCTACAGTGGAAAGGATATTTAATTTGTTACAAGATGAAATTACAAGTTGTGGTTAGAGACTTAGGAACTAAATTGGTTTTGCATCCGATGGTGCATCTAACAGGGTTGGTTGTAACAACTCTGTGGGAGTCTAAGTTAAAAGAGGTGTCTCCTCACTGTGTGCAGCTCAGATGTATCTGCCATTCATTCACACTGCGCTTTCAACATGCAGTTTATAAACTTTTGCTCTGACTTGTTTAAAAAAAATTCCAGTTAGTATTGTTATTAAGAGGCTGTTTTTTCTTGTATCATCAATCAAAACAAAAGATAGAAATAGAACTTAACTGCAACTTCATGAAGCAATCATGAGAATAATAAACATAACTGCTTTTATCTAACAAACGTTGCAAGGACTTTACTGCAGCCCCTAAAATGTTAAAGAACTGCTTCTTCTGCCTTCTAGCCCCCAGTGGAGCATATGCCGTCAACCCAAATCATGCCAAGTCGTTCTAGCCATCGCTATCACACGCAGCTCTCTACGTCATTTTTAACCTCCATCCTTCTACTAGAAGAAAGTCCCCTTGTCTTAGTTGGCTGGGTTTTCTTGTTTCTTTTAGACGTTTCTATGGTTGGTTGGTTTTTGTGGCTATTGTTTTTACAGGATGAGATGGCCAACTTCAACCATACCCTTAGTAGCCTCTTACGACATGCCTGGTAGGGTGCAGTGTCACTATTCTTTGCTTCCCGCAAGGGTCCCGGTGACACGGGAGCAAAAAACTTCTTGTCTGACATTGCATGGTGCTACTTTCAGTAGAGACGATGGTGATGTACTTGATTTTGAGTTTTTTTCTTATGATGTCGGTGTTTGTAGCATAGGCGTTGCGAACGCGCTTCGTAATGCCGCGGTGGGGAGGGGTGCCGGGTTCAATCCCAGTTGCGGACGGTTTGTCTTGCGATGGTTTTGACAGTAGTAAAAAGAGCTGACCGTCCAAAGGCAATGACTACAATCCAGAAGCTGTGGCAAACTACTAAACTTAAAATTTGCCTGCTTAAACCACAAAATCCAACAAATACTGGGGTTGGTTCTGTAATATCCTTTAAAGGATACCCAACTAACCAACTTGTGATATGATTATAAATTTGCAATTCTTTTTCTGGTGTTAAGTTTTTTTTTCTTTTTTTTTCAGTTTGGCCGATTTTCTAAATTTTGATTTTCCAACCCTGTCTCGGACAGAAGTTTAAATTTCAAGTTCTAAAAGTTTATTTGTATATTTTGCACAAATCATTGTTAGAGTTAAAAATGTCCTTGTTTGAGCAATGCACAAATGTCAACTTCTATGTTTTGCTTCAGAAGTCATCCTCAGAGATGGTAAGTTTGCTTAATAAAACATATGGTAATACTGCAATAAGGAAATCGCAAGTTTTTGAGTAGCACAAGTAATTCCGCAAAGCACACAATAGTGTTGATGAAGATAAACTGAGTGGACGACTGCATACCACTATAAACAGTGAAAACATTTTGCCTGTTCTGTGCATTGTTTGTGCTGATAAAAGACTTAGTGTCCATCAAATAGCTTAAGAACTTGGAGGTTGCTCCCGTATTCTCCTCACTTATTTTTTTTCTCCATCCCTCACCTCAAATCTGAAATAAAATTGCAGCAATTTAAGGATGCGGAAGACGTTAAAGCCAATGCGACAAACAGCTGAAAGAGGTGTCAAAGAATGAATTTTAGAAATATTTCCAAAAACTACGAAGGTTGGCAAAAGTGCCTAGTTCCTGAAGGAAAGTATTTGGAAGAAAATTTAATGTGAATAATTGCTGGTTAGGTTAACGTAAATCTCCCCAAACAAAGTAGGTTACTTTTCATTTACAAATTTGTTGGGCTGGTCGACTTTCCTGAAGGTTACAAGTGTGTCCAGCTCTATTGTTTGTTTTATGTGATGTTTTGCATTTACGATTTCATTCCGAGAAAGAGAATGCCTGTGACATAGGTTGCAGCACTCTCTGGGGGTGGGGAGGGGGGTGTTAGGGCCAGTTGCTCCGTGTTTTTGGAGTGTTAAAAGCACTGGTGTCTGGCGTGCTGAAATATACAACATGCGATATAAACGGCATCGCAGAATACCCCTTTACCTTGTGCAAAGGTGACAGATTCAGGAACTACTAATCAGAAATGACCTAGTGTGTATATAGGTGGGGCACGGGGAGATTAATGTTACGTGTGCCTAATTGCTGTTACTCATTTCTACACAACACAAAAATGCATCCATACACTGAATTAAATTAAACACACATACAAGAGACACTTGGCAATAATTCATGTTTAAAAGATTTATTGGCTAATGAAATGCATATCAGTAACAGACTTTGCAATGAAATAGAATGAACATGGCAACTGAAAAGTAGATACTAGATACTAAATATGATCACTAAATACTGAAGCTGAGAATGGAGTATATATAATTCTTACTAAAACCAATTTTTTTTTTTTTTTTTTTTTTGAGAATTTAATTTTGAATCATAAATTTGTCAAATGCTTTTTGTAGCCTGCTAAAAAAAAAAACAGATCTTGAACGGGTTTGTAATTTCTTAGCCATATGTTTCATAATCATTATATTTTTATTTACTTTTTCCATTGGGATTGTAGCCTGCAAAATTGCACATGCTCAATGCAAATTCAACAGGAGTAAATCCGAGAAACCTTGTTCTAGAGAGAAAAAAAAAAGCAATATTGGGCATCCACAGTTTCATAGTGACCTACTGTAGTAAGCTGAAATATGAACTGAGAAAGTGAAAAGCTGGTTTGTATAGTTGGGACAAGCTATCTTTATAAAGTACCAGTATGTTCATGGAATTTCACTTGTTTATATTGACTATTTATAACAATGGGGCGACAATACTGAAGAAAATAAAGCAAAACAACAAACTGTTGTTTCAAGTGATAAATCAAATGGTAAAAATTGAAGGATATCAATCCAGAAAAAAAAAAAAATAGTGAAGGAACAGTAAGAAAAGAAAGTACTGGTAAAAATGCAAAGTGAATTAACAAGGGGAGGCTACTCTGTAATGTATATGTGTAAACAAAACACAGTTATTCTCCTGTTTTTGTATGTAAAGGACAGTAAAATTATTAGCATTCTAATATAGTTAAAACTCACAATTAAACTTTTACTTCAAGCATAAGCTATGTGCTGATTAGAGAAACTTACTATAGAAAATGTATATTTGTCTGTCACCATTAGTCTTAATATGTTGTAGATATTTAAGTATATGGTTTTTTTTGTTGATTTCATATATTGCGAATGTGTCAGGTGTATATTGCATTTAAATACCTTGTATTTTTCAAATTTACTTTAAGATTAACTATCTACTGTAGCAGTTGTTTTTTCTTCAGACTAATGAATTAAGTAACTAATGAATTAAGTAACTAGTGACTTATAAGATTACATTATTACATTAATTAACAGAATAATAATAATTATTATTTTATTCAAAAAATCTTTGATTCCACTGTTCTATTGAAATCAACATTAGAAATTCGGAACTAAGGTTACTCACTGCCTATATGCGAATCCAGAAATTAGCACTTTAAATAAATTATGACTCAAATAATGAAACAGTTTTTTTTTTTTCTCCAAATGGCTATTTTCTGACCAACACATTAAGTGTATTTATTATTTTTCATCAGGCACTGAATCAAATTAGATAATTTAAACAGTAGCTGTATCTCTTTATATTTATTTAATTGCTTTTATCTAATCATCAGCTAACAGTAACTCATACTGAAACTCTTTCCATACTTATTACCCAGACCCATTGATTCCCAGTTAGTTCTGTAACTCTTTAATTTCACACGGTCCTTACTTTAGATCTTTTGAACCATACAGCTGTTATCTGACAGTGACATTACATCAACATCACGTGACTTGCCGATGAGCGATCGCTGTCATGTTTCACAATCTCACACAGTTACCAGAGTTAGTGATCCAGTCAGTGTTTTTTGTTCTTGTTTCCCCCATCCATATGGCTAAACCATTCAGGAATTAATATCTTTGCTGACCCCTACTCTTTTTCAACTAAAGTTGCTAGCTGTACCAAGTGCTTAGGTCCATACTTAAAATAACAAGCCACAAAAGAATACAAACTGTCTACATTTAATTTCTCTAATCAGTTTACCACTTTCATCTCAAAGAGGACTGCCTAATTTGTTCTTCTAACATTCAGTGATCTTTGCATTCTTCTCAAAAACCACATCTCTGCTGTTAGTAACTGTTTTTCATCTTGTCTGCTTATCTGTCCAAGTCTTATATGCATATAAGAACACAGCTTCTGCAAAGACTTTTTATGGCAGATTTTTCTGCCTGTTGCCGTTATGGAAATAGCCAGTTTCTTTGCATTCTATTTTTCAAAGCATTGAAACACCACACAATCATTGTGAATTGAATGTTAAAATATGATTTAATCTAAAAGTTAGTTAGTGCAGTTGTATGCATGTGAGAAAGATATTACACATGTACTATTCTAAATATTGCTATCTGAACATATTTCCAAATTGCAAGATAATTATACGTATGAATGTATGAATTATGCAGGAATGATTTCTCATATTTCTAGTAATTAAATTGATAGAAAAAAAACTTGTTTTCTATGTGCAAGCTTCCAGAAATTCATCAAAACTAATTTTTCCATCTCCACTTTTGTCAGCCTTTTTCAAGATGTCATTTACTTCATCTTCTGTAAACTTGTGGGAAGAAGCTTCTAGAATCTTTCTCAGCTCATTCTTATCCAGGAATCCGCTGTTGTCACAATCATACTGCTTAAACATTGCAGTTAGTTTCTTAATGCTGCAATTGGAAGAAGAACAAAACACAGTTATATTCAGTTTTGAAAACAATATTCTTTTCATAGTAGATTTTATATTTATGGAGCATAAAACAGATACACAGCAATATATTCTATTATGGTAAAGTAGCTTTTTTGTTCTGACAGTGTTAGCACCTGTGTTAAGGTTACATTTTTTTAAGCACTACTGTAGTAACTTTCTAATGAGTACTGGCACCTTTGTAGATTCTTTCTAGGGAGTACCAGCACCTTTCTATATGCTTTCTAGGGAGTTATGGTACCTGTGTTTTCCTATAAAAATAAAACTATGGATAAAGGTGAACAAATATAACCAGGTGCACCTGGAGGTTCAAAGCCAAAAGCAAATGAAGGATGTTTAGTGTAAGAAAGCCAAGCAAAAATTACAACTTCTAGAATGAGAGTAGAGATGGGAGTGGTCTTTATGGCTTTCTTGATTGGACTGTACCTTTCAGTCTCTTCAGACAAACCTTAAAAAAAAAATAGATAGGGACACTTAGGACACAAAATTCCGATTTCAACCATTAAACTTGGTGCGAAAAAAAAAAAAAAAAAAACAGTCCACAATTATAATCAACAGCTTCTTTGATAAAGAAGCTGGCTAAATTTCAACACATTTCGTTCCAATGAAATCAGCAATTGACAGTCTTATATTGTGTTTTAAGAGGGTCTGGAAATCACAGCCCATGATGACGATGAGTATGACTAGCAAGTTCTGCTTGTGTTAAGAAGAGTCTTCCACAATTCTTCTTCTTTTGTCATCTCACTGATGCCAGGTTGAAGTCCTGTGTCGTGGTTTTCTGTATCTGTCTTGTGCTTCTTGAGTGGCTAAGGTGATGGATTTGTTTATCGTTTTGCAGGGTTAAGCAACACCATTTATCCATCTCTTTATTGGTCTTTCTCTTGCCTTCCTCCCAGATGTTCCACAGTGAAAGTAAAATAAGTAAAGATCCCTTTTCCTGCCTTAGGCGCATTGGACATATGGGAAGAGCACCCACATTTATACAGACCAATCAGCACCAGGTTCCAATGAAATCAGCAATTGACAGTCTTATATTGTGTTTTAAGAGGGTCTGGGAATCACAGCCCATGATGACGATGAGTATGACTAGCAAGTTCTGCTTGTGTTAAGAAGAGTCTTCCACAATTCTTCTTCTTTTGTCATCTCACTGATGCCAGGTTGAAGTCCTGTGTCGTGGTTTTCTGTATCTGTCTTGTGCTTCTTGAGTGGCTAAGGTGATGGATTTGTTTATCGTTTTGCAGGGTTAAGCAACACCATTTATCCATCTCTTTATTGGTCTTTCTCTTGCCTTCCTCCCAGATGTTCCACAGTGAAAGTAAAATAAGTAAAGATCCCTTTTCCTGCCTTAGGCGCATTGGACATATGGGAAGAGCACCCACATTTATACAGACCAATCAGCACCAGGTGGGTAATGCGGTCAGCATTATGTCGACAGTCTTTATTTCCCCAAGACATACATCCTGGTACCCATTTTAGGCCGGGTCAACCTGCGACACCCCATACTGTGATAAAAATCCATGCAGCCATTATGAGGTTTTGATCCTAGTATATTGTAATTACAAGCCGAACTCGCAACGCTTAAGCCATGGACGCAGCGATGTTCCACAATTAGGGAATATAATTTCAGCACATGTGTTGCTTTTATTTCTGCTGGCTGGAGAATCAGCTGGCTGGAATATCAGCTGGCTGGAGAATCAGCTGGCTGGAGAATCAGCTGGCTGGAGTATCAGCTGGCTGGAGAATCAGCTGGCTGGAGAATCAGCTGGCTGGAGAATCAGCTGGCTGGAGAATCAGCTGGCTGGAGAATCAGCTGGCTGGAGAATCAGCTGGCTGGAGTATCAGCTGGCTGGAGAATCAGCTGGCTGGAGAATCAGCTGGCTGGAGAATCAGCTGGCTGGAGAATCAGCTGGCTGGAGAATCAGCTGGCTGGAGAATCAGCTGGATGGAGAATTAGCTGGCTGGAGAATTAGTTGGCTGGAGAATCAGCTGGCTGGAGAGCTGGCTGGAGAATCAGCTGGCTGGAGAATCAGCTGGCTGGAGAATCAGCTGCATTCATATAAAAAGCAGGTCAAGGTTATAAACATCCAAAATAGTGTATACTAAATCACCTGATGTGGGAGCTGCCATGGTGCAGCGGCTAGACACTTGCTTGTGGATCTGAATGCCATGGGTTCAGATCCTGATGGAACCAGACAATTTTTTTTTTACTGAACCTGGCTCCCATGTCGACCCAGCCTTAAACGCGTACCAGGTATAAAGTCCAGGGGTGACACTGAGAAATTTGGAGGACAGGCAGATGGAGACTGGGAGAAAAGATGCTGGACAGTCTGACATCATGGCATGAAGGATCATCTGTGTCAGAGTTGATTGAAAGTACGCGAGACAGAAGGTTGTGGCTAGACATGACTACCAATGCCACACTGCATGGATTTAAGAAGAAGAAAGTCCAGGAAAGCCAGTGTGATGATGACCATATCCCCCACGGACTGTCTTCTTCTTCTTCTTCACTTCCTCTTTTACCGCTGTGGGTGCGAGGGAGATATAAAGTTCTGTTTCTAGCTCTTCTGGCCGCCTCGACCATAGGCACATTGTGCTGTTGTAGATATTCTCTGATGTTATCCTTTCATCTTGTTCTTGGTCTACCTCGTGCTCTAAGTCCTTCTTCTCTTTCCATGTATGCTTTGTATGGTATGGTGTCACAAGGCATTCTCTCTAAGTGGGCGAACCATTTCACTTGCTGTCTTTGTATGTAATCCAGAATTGGTTCTGTGCCGACTTTTTCTCTTATGATGTCATTCCTGATCTTATCTCTTATGGTCACTCCCACAGCCATTCTCAGACATCTCATTTCCATGGTTACTAATTTTCTTTTATGGTTTGTTGTAAATGACCATGTCTGGCACTGGTAGCATAAAGTTGGAATAAATATGCTTTGAATAAGATGTCTCTTTGTGCTGATTGGGATTTACGGACTGTCAACTGGTATATAAAGTACAGGTATAGACCTATATTTGTAATATGCCTGGAAAAGGGTCCTTTACTTTCATTTGACGTAATAAAAAAACACACATATAAAATCCCACAAATCTGCTCATTTAAAACTGTGTAGAGTCTGTTCTTATGTGTGTGTGGACATCAAAGGCCAATAAATGAAGAAAGGATGGATGGAGAAAATCCAGCTAAAAGGGAAATGCTTCTTTGAAAATAATATTACCAATATAGTGAAAAACAAAACAAAAATGCATAGGTAGTGAAATCATGTCTAGAATACTCATCAAAAGTGTAAAGAAAATAACAAATGAAGTTTTATTAGACAAACTGAAAGCTGCAATGTAATAGACAAATAGCCTTTTGTGGGAAAGTACTAGAAAAAATAAGACCAGAAGTGAGCACGTTTAAAGCTAAAAAAAAGCCACGCAACAAATAATAAAAAATTCTCAATAAAGTATGAGTAAAAAAAAAAAAACCACACAGCTTACAAAGTCTGAAGGGATTGCAGACCCTTTTTAAATTCATCAAGAGTGATCCTCCGGTCCCCCTTTGGTCCGTCAAAGAAAACAAATGCATCCTAGATTTAGAGAAATGTATAAAACTGTTGTCATCAAGTACTTTCTTTTTTAAACATACACATTCACTGCTTTATAGCGCTGTGTAGAACATGTGTTGTTAAATGCATGTGAAACATGGACAATGGGCAGACAGGCTTTGAGACACATGAATCTGGTAAATTTATTATAACAGTTCGATTTATTTTGTATTTTTTGACATGTTTTCTTTTTCTTCTTCGCATTCACCAGCTGTAAACTTCGGCGGAAAGTTCTGGTTGCTCATCGACTTCTGGACTGCAGTCCTGTTCCAGAACATGTATGTTGGGTGTGCATCCATTTTATAGATCTGACTCTTTTAAATGCAGACTGCTGGTTCTTTGCCTCTCAGGCAGATGCACTCCGACTTCGAAGGAAGCTCCCAAATAGTCGACTCTTACGACATGCTTTTGGGTAGGCAAAGGGTCTATTCTTTTTTTTCCTATAATGGGACCCGGAACATACACGGGGATGACATGTTCTAATAATAAATGGATTCAAGAACTTGGTAACAACTGACAAGATGGATGGAAAGAGAGCAAGAGGACTGCGACGATATAAATACCAGGAGCGTCTGGCCAGATGTATGGGGCGAGATAAAAACATTGAACTGATCCGTGATCGTGGTAGATCGCGAAACATGACAGCCTACCCTTTCCGGCATGGCACATGATGGTAATGATTACTTTATAATTCAATACTTCCATCCTGGGTTTTGACCAAGGAACAAGATCTCTCCGGCTGGCTGACGATCTCAGCACGAAAAATCATGGCTACGGCTTATTTGATTCTGTATTATTTTCAAAGAAACATGGTAGCTCCTGAGGACAGACTCAGACAAATAACATCCGGTATGTTGATAACCATGCTCACACAAATTATACAAGAGAGACTTCCCGCGTTGGTTTTGGGCCCCATAAGGTGGAAAGGGGGGGGGGGGGAAGTCGGTCACACCTATTGCATTTATATCAAGCATATCGTAGAAGGCAATAAATTATGGATGTTTCCTCTTAAGCCAGAGCGCATCTGCTGCATGAGAGGTGAAGAACCAACAGTCTGCATACAAATATGCAAATCTGTAAAGCGGCTATGCACGCACAATCCAAATTCTGTAATAAGATCAAAGTCAAGATTTGGACGAATAACAAGAACTTTCAGCCGGAGTTTGCGGCTGGTGAAAGCTAAGAAAAGAAGATACAAGAGAGACAACTGAAACACAAACAAATGATCAGAAGATAAGCTAAGACCTCGTTTTCGTTCTGTCAGTGAAATTATCACCATCATCTATCGGCCATGGAGACACCCCCAGCCCCCTCTCTTCCCAAGGATGAAACATAACACAAAACAATAGAATGTTATCACGGGTGCAAGGCATGTATTCGTCTTCCAATACATCAGTTCGCAAAGCGGTTATAAGGTCACGATGAATGGATTTTTTACGTGGCAGAATCAATATGTTTGCCACATCCCATACTGTTCCTATACTGAAACCTGACACAAAAATCTTTTAGAACGTTTACACGGCACGCATGTTTTCTTTTGTTTTTGCTCTATTTCTAATGTTAAAAAATTAAAGAGAAAGAAAAGCGTAATTATCCGAAGGTGCCTTTTTTATTAGTTGACGGGAAAATCTAGTTTGCCTAAACACCATGGATGACCCAGCTGCGAAAGAACTGTCAAACGATTGGTTAAATCCTAAGGTAGGTTAGCTGGTTAGTCGACAGATTATCTTTACTGCACATGGAACCATTCAGTCCATAAGTGCTCGGATCTCTTGAAACAACGCAAACTGGAAACACTAAGTAAGACGAGGGAAGACATGCACAAGTAACAACAGGGTGGAGGACGAGCCGTCTGATTCAGATGGAAGCGTTAAGCCACGACCGGCTCCAGCTGACGGGACGTGCTGCTGACGTCACCGGGTCGGGCTAACGATGCGTTAACGCAGCATTTCTCAAACTGGGTGCTGAGGCAGCCTGGGGTGTCCTGAGCGTATGCCAGGGCTGCCGCGTAATAAAGAAAAGTCGGCTAAAAATGTGAAATAATGAAGAAGGCATGTAGATACTTAAAGATAAAATTTAAGTTGTCTTTCCTTGCCACTGTCGAAAATGTTTATATCTTGTTTGAGAACCGCTGCGTTACTGCATCGTTAGGGGCCGTGCTGCTGACGTCACCGCGTCAGGCTAACGATGCGGTAACGCAGCGGTTCTCAAACAAGATATAAACTATTTTCGACAGTGGCAAGGAAAGACAACTTAAATTTTATCTTTAAGTATCTACATGCCTTCTTCATTATTTCACATTTTTAGCCGACTTTTCTTTATTACGCGGCAGCCCTGGCATACGCTCAGGACACCCCAGGCTGCCTCAGCACCCAGTTTGAGAAATGCTGCGTTAACGCATCGTTAGCCCGACCCGGTGACGTCAGCAGCACGGCCCGTCAGCTGGAGCCGGTCGTGGACAAATTGTCCGCAGTTGGGATCAAACCCGGCATTACGAAGCGTGTTCGCGTGAAAAGGGTACATTAATCTTTACAACTGTGGAACCTGTGTGTTACATATATGCTCTCTACATGCAATAGAGCGATCTCAGGTTTGCCCGGTTGGCATTCCAATATAAACCAATTACGTGGAATGGTGGAAGAGATGTGTCGCACCACAAACTTCATAGATGTATGTGGTCTTCTTATCCAAAAACAACTGGCAGGGGGAACGGAAAGAAGAAGATTAAGATAAATGAGTTAACAAATTAAAACTATGTTCAGATAGCTCAGTTTACCAACTGTACCCACACAGTCTAGCATGATCGTTACGGGTGCCCCAGTTCTAATCTCCTTACATGTTGAACGAAATGTCTGAGCTTTGTCACGTTGTTTTGTCACCCATGAAGAGAAGCTAAATTTCTCAGGGATTATCAAATTCTCAGGGGTTATCAAATTTTCGGCTGGCATCCTGTGTGGGAAAAACCAGCAACGATAGCCAACCCAGCAAATGTTCTGAAAACTTTTAACATGAATAAGTCAAGGGAATAAATTCTGGGCGAGGATTTCTTCATACTTGTTGCAATGTTATAAAGTTTGCGGTGGGGTAGAATGTTAACAATATCGCCCAGTGAATTCTGTTACTACTGGCTAGTGAATACTGGGACCGGCTCAATCAATAGTAGGACAGACTAGATGAGGATTGGAACAGGTTAACTGGATGTTGACACTCGGTAACTGAGTGCCGGAAGTGGCAAACTGAATGCTGGGAGTGGCAAACTGAATATTGGGCGGGACTAACTGAATACTGGGCGTGGCTAACTGAACATTGGGAGCGGCTAACTGAACATTGGGAGCGGCTAACTGAACATTGGGAGCGGCTAACTGAACGTTGGGAGTGGCTAACCCAACATTGGGAGCGGTTAAGTGAACATTGGGAGCGGCTAAGTGAACATTGGGAACGGCTAACTGAACATTGGGAGCGGCTAACTGAACGTTGGGTGTGGCTAACTAAATATTGGGCGTGACTAATTGAATACTGGGCGTTGTTAACTAAATGCTGACCCTGGCAGACTCAGTGTTGGGTGCGGCTGACTGAACATTGGGAGCGACTAACTGAACGTTGGGTGTGGCTAACTAAATATTGGGCGTGACTAATTGAATACTGGGCGTTGTTAACTAAATGCTGACCCTGGCAGACTCAGTGTTGGGTGCGGCTGACTGAACATTGGGAGCGGCTAACTGAACATTGGGAGTGACTAACTAAATACTGTGAGTGCTAACTCAGCGTTGGGAGTGGCAAAATGAATGCTGACACTGGCGGACTGAATGTTAAGGGTGGCTGACTGAATGTTGACGTGTTCAAACTGGCGGACTGGATGTTGACAGCGGCAACATGGGAGTGTATTATGTGCAATGACGTCGACTATGATAACACACAAGCATGTCGTAAGAGTCCACTAACTGTGGGCTTCTTCAAAGTCAGAGTGCATCTGCCTGAGAGGCAAGGAACTAATAGTCTGCATACGGGTAAGACAGTTCTGTAAAAAGGATGCGCAAGCGGTATTCAGGTTCTGGAACAAGACTAAAGTCTAAAGGTGGACGAACAACTTGAACTTTCCGCCGGAGAATCCAGACGGTAAACACTAAGAAGAAGAAACGGTCTAAAATTGGTATCGAGGTAAAGTCCTGGAAAGTAAAGGCAGCAGGTGGTGGTTATCCATAACGACCATCTAATTCCGATTAGTCAGTAAAAAATATATGTCTTGCATAATATGTTATTTCCGTATCCTTTACAGGACGTTGCAGAACCAACATTTTTTGACTGTTGTGGTTTTTCTAGGCAAATTTTACGTTCAATAGTTTGTCATTGCTTTTGAACTGTCAGCTCCCGGTACCATTGTCGAAACCAATGCAAAACAAATTGTCCGCAGCTGGGATCAAACCCAGCAACCCGGCATTACAAAGCGCGTTCGCATGAAAAGGTTATATTAACCTTTACTGGAGCTTTGTCACGTTGTTTTGTCACCCATGAAGAGAAGCTACATTTCTCAGGGATTATCAATTTCTCAGGGATTATCACACTTTCAGAGGTTATCACATTTTCGGCAGGCATCCCGGATGGGAAAAACCGGCAACGATAGCCAACCAAACAAATGTTCCGAAAATTGTTAACATAAATAAGTGAAGGGAATAAATTCTGGGCGTGGATTCCTTCATACTTGTTGCAATGTTATAAAGTTTGCGGTGGGGTAGAATGTTGACAATATTACCCAGTGAATTCTGTTGCTACTGGCTAGTGAATACTGGGACCGGCTCAATCAATAGTAGGACAGATTAGATGAGTACTGGAACAGATTAACTGGATGTTGACACACGGTGACTGAATGCAGGGAGTGGCAAAACTGGATATTGGGCGTGAATAACTGAATACTGGGCGTGGCTAACTGAATGTTGACACTGGCGAGCTGAATGATGGGAGCGGCTAATTGAACACTAGGAGCGGCTAACTGAACATTGGGAGCGGCTAACTGAACATTGGGAGTGCCTAACTGAACGTTGGGAGTGGCTAACTGAACATTGGGAGTGGGAGTGGCTAAGTGAACATTGGGAGTGGCTAAGTGAACATTGGGAGCGGCTAACTGAACGTTGGGAGCGGCTAACTGAACACTGGGAGCGACTTACTGAATGTTAGGAGTAGCAAACTGAATATTGGGAGTGACTAACTGAATACTGTGAGTGGCTAACTCAGCATTGTGAGTGGCAAAATGAATGCTGACACTGGCGGACTGAATATTAGGAGTGGATAGTTAAACGCTGTAAGTAGCTAAATGAATATTGGGAGTGACTAACTAAATACTGTGAGTGGCTAACTCAGCGTTGTGAGTGGCAAAATAAATGCTGACACTGGCGGACTGAATGTTGACGTGGTAAAACTGGCGGGCTGGATGTTGGCAGCGGCAACGTGGGAGTGTATTATGTGCAATGACGTCGACTATGATAACACAAAAGCATGTCGTAAGAGTCCATTGTGGGCTTCTTCGAAGTCAAAGTGCATCTGCCCGAGAGGCAAGGAACCAATAGTCTGCATACGAGTAAGCCAGTTCTGTAAAAAGGATGCAGAAGAGGCATTCAGGTTCTGGAACAAGACTAAGGTCTAGAGGTGGACGAACAACTTGAAGTTTCCGCCGGAGATTACAGACGGTGAACGCAAAGAAGAAGAAACTGTCTAAAATGGGTATCGAGGTAAAGTCCTGGAAAGTAAAGGCAGCAGGTGGTGGCTATCCATAACGTCCACCTAATTCCGATTAGTCAGTTAAAAAAATATAAAGTCTTGCACAATATGTTATTTGCGTATCCTTTACAGGACGTTGCAGAACCAGCTTTAGCATTATTTGACTTTTATGGTTATGGAGCCGGTCGTGGTTAAGCCCAGAAATGGCACAAATACTAGAATTCAGTCACGAAAGTGACGCAAATAACCCAGACAACAAAAATAGGCGGAGACTGCTAGCAGCCTCGGCTAGCTAGCAGCAGTCAGAACGTGGTCGAGCTTTTCATTTTTTTTTCAAAGGACTAGGACTAGGACTCCCAGTTCTGTATTGGTTTCTTATTCTTCTTTAGCTTCCTGCATAGTCTTTTGTTTGGCCACTCTCATTTTAACATGCTTTTTTGCAGTCTGGTCATGGTTGCAGATTCAGAGTACTTACTTAATTCTAGCAAACGTCCTAATTCTCGTAGAGCATTCAGTATATCACTTAGTCTGGTCCATGACACGTCCGCCCACCAGAGTAGCTTTATCTGCAGACCTATTAGCTTGCTCATCTCCCTGGCATAAATATAAAGCTGATATGTTTCAGCCCCGACCGCCTCAGAGACAGCAACCATTGTCTTCGGACCCAGCCCATTTCTATCATCTTGAACATTTCATTGAGTCACCGAGAAAACATGAGCGGGTAAAGGTCTGTGTCTCCAGTTATGTTACCGGTTCGGTCAATGTGATGACCTCCATAGTCAGACTACTTGTAGTCACGGCGAAAGCACCAGAATCTTGCTGCACAGTTCCAACCTGAGCCCTAAAAGCTTACGTAAATGCCTAAGAAGATAAATGATCAGAAGATAATCTATGACACTGCTTTCTTTCTGTCAGTGAAATGACAAGATGAGACGTGATTAGGTTCGCGAATTCATTTTGTTTAAGGAGACCCCTGTGGATTACCACCAGAGCTATGGAGTTCGTGCTTTGTGCGATTCTCTTGGCAGAAGCCTAAACGTTTTGTGATGAGAGGCGGGCATTATGGAATAATCTGCAGCAATGAATTAGATCCTCGCGAATTTAACTTGATTTAAAAGTTGGAATAGTCAAATCAACTGCTCTCTCTCTCTCTCTCTCTCTCTCTCTCTCTCTCTCTCTCTCTCTCTCTCTCTCTCTCTCTCTCTCTCTCTCTCTCTCGGTCTCCTTCTGCATCTTTTTCTCTCCAACTTTTTTTACCATCACGATATACTTCAGTTTTCTCTTTCTCATAACATGACCAAAGAATGTAGATTATCCCCTTCTGGCGTGGGCAATCAGTTTTCGTAGTGAGTCAGCTTCAAGATATCTTTGTTACTTTTTTTTTTATTTGTGCAGGGTATTCTCTGCCACTTCTACATATTTTTTTTTATATTTTTTGGAAATGAGAAATCTACTATGAAAATACTCGAGTATTGCAGGAGAGGAGAAATGTTGACATCTCAAAAGATCTGAACATCAAGGAATAAACAGCATCCTTTCTCGAAAGCTGAAATATTTTGGTCATATCAAGCGCCACGACGGATTGGAAAAAATTAAAGCAGACGTCAGGGTACCAGGAAGGAGGGACAGGGGCGGACCGACACGAAGATGGGCACAGGATATAAGTGACTCATTGGGTATGAAAGTACATGAGGCGGGAGAACTGGCGAGAGATCGAGTTTCTTTCAGGCAGACTATGATGAGAGTGACGTTCTGCAAAGGACCTGCTACATGATGATGATGATTGCAGGAGATAAATTTACAAAGACAGATAAATGCCCACAACATGTCAACACAGTCGTTACTTCTTGGAGTCACACTGCTCCTTCTGTCCATGGCTGTATTTTTCATTTCCATAAAGACTAAAAACCTGCTCAACTGTACATAATTTTTAGGATAGGTTAGTTGCGTATCCTTTACAGGACGTTGCAGAACCAACACCACCAGCCCCTGACTTGTTGTGTGGTTTGTCTAGGCAAATTTACGTCCAGTCGTTTGCCATTGCTTTCTGGACGTTCGGTTTTCTTGATACCACTGTCGAAACCAACGCAAGGCCCATGGCCCGCAGCTGGGATCGAACCCGACATCCCTGCATTACGAAGCGTTCGCATCGACTTAGCCACAGAGCCGACTTTTAGTATAGACTGTGTGGAATTATAACTACTTCTGACTGAAAGAGTTAAAGCAGAATATACCAAAACTTACAGCAATCTGTGAATCTGTCAAGTTACTACTTCCTTTCTTGAGAAGGTTCCTCAACTCGTACACATCCAGGGTACCGCTGCAGTCAGCATCGGCTTCTTTGTACAACTTCTCCCATTCGTCTGCGGATTTCTTGGCGGTCATTCTTTTCTTTAAGATCTCTGAATATCACTAAACGTACAAAAAAGAATTAAAAATGAGATACAATTAAATGTAAAATATTTGGAATATAGGCGCTATATACATATTTTACTGCTTGCTTGCTTGTTGTACCCCACCAGGACATCACACAAGCGATAAACACCCGGTGACACAAAGTGCCAACATGCGGATAAGGATCACCTGTGGAGAGTCACAAAAACCCTTTTTAGCCGTTATGGCCACAATTGTGACCCATCTTTATTTGGGGCCCCCGGCAAAAGCCAGGGTGGGGCTTCCAATAGCCAAAAATTGCATAACACAAGGGGACGCGACAATAACAATAAATATACATCTTTTCGTTTCACGTTTGGCTTTATGGGATAAGCTGCTGCATGGCCTATAAAAATCCAGTCAGTTGATGCAACACCACGTAAGTGTAATCTGTTGTTTTTGTAGGTAGTGATGTTGTTGTTGTTGATGATGATTATGATGATGATGACGAAGATATTTTTCCTTCTAGAATTGCAGCCTGAAAGACTGACATTTCATGACTCAAAGAACCCCATGTTGAATGTGGCGGCAACGATCCGACATGACCAAATCCTGGAAACCCTGATGTTATCCAACAGTTGATCTTGAATACCATAATCTTCTAGAATTGTCCATAATTGAATCTGTGTCTTACTTAACTGGGGCTCTAGTACTGGTCGAGCTCTACGTTTCAAAATGTTTGCAAACGTCTTTACAGCATGGCACAGAATGGAGATGCCCCTGTATGTGAAACTTTGTTCAACCGTATACAGTAGTTATATCGGGCATCATACAATTACAAGAACAAAAACAGACTTGTTGTCTTTCGGGTTGGGATGGACATGTCTAACCTCTGCCAGTTCGTTTTTGCTAAACTGTGAGCTGGTTACATCTCAGTGTTTAAAGATCGTTCTCATGCCTTTTGAAAGTGGGAACAGAGCCACACAATGAAAGGGGGTAGGGGCTTCCGCACGTAACACCCACTGCAGACAGCAGGGGGTGCACATAACCACTGCAGACAGCAGGGGGTGCACATAACCACTGTAGACAGCAGGGGGTGCACATAACCACTGCAGACAGCAGGGGGTGCACATAACCACTGCAGACAGCAGGGGTGCACATAACCACTGCAGACAGCAGGGGGTGCACATAACCACTGCAGACAGCAGGAGTGCACATAACCACTGCAGACAGCAGGAGTGCACATAACCACTGCAGACAGCAGGAGTGCACATAACCACTGCAGTCAGCAGGGGTGCACATAACCACTGCAGACAGCAGGGGGTGCACATAACCACTGCAGACAGCAGGGGTGCACATAACCACTGCAGACAGCAGGGGTGCACATAACCACTGCAGACAGCAGGGGTGCACATAACCACTGCAGACAGCAGGGGGTGCACATAACCACTGCAGACAGCAGGAGTGCACATAACCATTGCAGACAGCAGGGGGTGCACATAACCACTGCAGACAGCAGGAGTGCACATAACCACTGCAGACAGCAGGGGGTGCACATAACCACTGCAGACAGCAGGGGTGCACATAACCACTGCAGACAGCAGGGGGTGCACATAACCACTGCAAACAGAAGGGGTGCACATAACCACTGCAGACAGCAGGGGGTGCACATAACCACTGCAAACAGAAGGGGGTGCACATAACCACTGCAGACAGCAGGGGGTGCACATAACCACTGCAGACAGCAGGAGTGCACATAACCACTGCAGACAGCAGGGGGTGCACATAACCACTGCAGACAACAGGAGTGCACATAACCACTGCAGACAGCAGGGGGTGCACATAACCACTGCAGACAGCAGGGGTGCACATAACCACTGCAGACAGCAGGGGGTGCACATAACCACTGCAAACAGAAGGGGGTGCACATAACCACTGCAGACAGCAGGGGGTGCACATAACCACTGCAAACAGAAGGGGGTGCACATAACCACTGCAGACAGCAGGGGGTGCACATAACCACTGCAGACAACTTCCACTGTGGTGACGACACACCACCTAACTCTTTCAGTACCACACAGTTTAACTGCAATCATCTGAAGTAGTCGTAGTCGTGGCTTATAATTAATAAATAAAGCCCTAAAGAACTTTAAATAATCAATTTGTTGAACAGAAGATACACATATAAATCAATTTGTTGAACAGAAGATACACATATAAATCAATTTGTTGAACAGAAGATACACACATAAATCAATTTGTTGAACAGAAGATACACATATAAATCAATTTGTTGAACAGAAGATACACATATAAATCAATTTGTTGAACAGAAGATACACATATAAATCAATTTGTTGAACAGAAGATACACATATAAATCAATTTGTTGAACAGAAGATACACATATAAATCAATTTGTTGAACAGAAGATACACATATAAATCAATTTGTTGAACAGAAGATACACATATAACTTAAAGTTAGTCAATTTGACTTCTAGGTGAAGCACTGACAGCTGAGAAACGTATACCATACATAAAGTTCGTGGTGAATTGCTTGGTAATGAAAGAGTTAATGTGTGTGTGTGTGGGGGGGGGGGGGGCGGGGGGATTTACCTTTTTCTTCTGGGGGATTATCTCGTGGGTGAAAATCAAACTAGCACAAATCCAGGAAACCGCGCACAACTGTGTGACAGTTGTTGTTGTTTGCTCTTACCGGCTGTAAAACCTCGGCGGAAGGACCTGATTGGTTTTGTTCCAGGGCTTGAGTTTTGCGTGTGCATCCGTTTTACAGATCTTTCTTATTTGTTTGCCTCTCAGGCCGATGCACTCTGACATTAAAGAAAGCCCCCAATTATTCGACTCTTACGACATGCTTCTTGTTTTCCCGGAACCCACTGTGGGACGTGTGACAGTTAGTTATATTGTACCTTACGATTAGAAAATACACGGGCATATTTTTGCACTAGGATATGCGCCGGTCTTGCGTAGGGTACTGTTTTATGAGTTTGTGAGATCAAGAGTAGGTCAAAGTGTCAAAGCAAAATTCATACTTGTGCAGCGTTCAAATCACACTGGGCCGGATCTGCAGGGATTGGCAGGCAGACACTATAGAGTCAGAAATTCAAAAATGACTAATGTCAACTCCCGCCTAGGTGATGTGATTATCTATCTATACAAGTGGCTCAGTGGTGAGAGGCAGAAGTGTATGTGTGCTCATTGCGAAAGCCATTAAACGATGCTTTGTGCAAAAGAAGCGTAGCATATTATACTAAAAGAACCTAGTTTGAGAATGAAGCTGGAGACAGCCACAGCCGCTTTTCCGTTGACTTGAGAACCAGCTGCACGAAAACTGACTCAAGAAGCATTCCGAGAACGGTTGAGACAGGGATGCTCCGTATAGTGTGGCAAGTTTCTCTTCACAGGTCCCGAACAGTTATCGTCTTTTGGATATTTTTTCCGGAATTACATGTGTGTAAGAAAATAAACAGGCAGACAGACGGCTGGTTCTGCGCTACTGGGTGGTGAAGTGATGCATGACAAACTGAATGGGATCAGGGCACTTTTAGGGCAAGCGAAGAATACGGAGGCATAAACAGATCATTATAGTCTGCAGAGAACGGTACAGCTTGGCCTGATCAGATGGAGGGGATATGGTCGACACTCCACACTCAAGGGAAAGGTAAAGCAGGCACATAATCAAACTGCTACTGGCACCATTAGAACTGGGACACTTCGCTGGCTGCTGAAGATGTTACGGAGTGTTTTTGAGAATGTCCGGCGTTCTGTGTTGTCAGTTATTAACGCAATCGACAATGAATTTCAAGATCGACAGGAGAACTCTGCAAAATTATCTCCTTGGATGCAACACCACGTAAGTGTAATCTGTTGTTTTTCTAGGTAGTGATGTTGTTGTTGATGATGATTATGATGATGATGACGAAGATATTTTTCCTTCTAGAATTGCAGCCTGAAAGACTGACATTTCATGACTCAAAGAACCCCATGTTGAATGTGGCGGCAACGATCCGACATGACCAAATCCTGGAAACCCTGATGTTATCCAACAGTTGATCTTGAATACCATAATCTTCTAGAATTGTCCATAATTGAATCTGTGTCTTACTTAACTGGGGCTCTAGTACTGGTCGAGCTCTACGTTTCAAAATGTTTGCAAACGTCTTTACAGCATGGCACAGAATGGAGATGCCCCTGTATGTGAAACTTTGTTCAACCGTATACAGTAGTTATATCGGGCATCATACAATTACAAGAACAAAAACAGACTTGTTGTCTTTCGGGTTGGGATGGACATGTCTAACCTCTGCCAGTTCGTTTTTGCTAAACTGTGAGCTGGTTACATCTCAGTGTTTAAAGATCGTTCTCATGCCTTTTGAAAGTGGGAACAGAGCCACACAATGAAAGGGGGTAGGGGCTTCCGCACGTAACACCCACTGCAGACAGCAGGAGTGCACATAACCACTGCAGACAGCAGGGGGTGCATATAACCACTGCAAACAGCAGGGGTGCACATAACCACTGCAGACAGCAGGGAGTGCACATAACCACTGCAGACAGCAGGGGGTGCACATAACCACTGCAGACATCAGGGGGTGCACATAACCACTGCAGACAGCAGGGGGTGCATATAACCACTGCAAACAGCAGGGGTGCACATAACCACTGCAGACAGCAGGGAGTGCACATAACCACTGCAGACAGCAGGGGGTGCACATAACCACTGCAGACATCAGGAGTGCACATAACCACTGCAAACAGCAGGGGGTGCACATAACCACTGCAGACAGCAGGGAGTGCACATAACCACTGCAGACAGCAGGAGTGCACATAACCACTGCAAACAGCAGGGGGTGCACATAACCACTGCAGACAGCAGGGAGTGCACATAACCACTGCAGACAGCAGGGGGTGCACATAACCACTGCAGACAGCAGGAGTGCACATAACCACTGCAGACAGCAGGAGTGCACATAACCACTGCAGACAGTA